GTCGAATGGAACTTTGGCCGCATGAAAACATTGTGGGGTTTCACGACCTACAAAATGCAACAAAAAATCATGCTTTCCAACGTTGGGACCATCGTACTCCTGGCCATGTTTTTGACAAACTGCAATTGCTGCTACAACGGAGGAAATCAAATATCCTCCTACTTCGGAATGCAACCACCAACACTGAAAGAATATCTAACGCCGGAGTACAATGTAATTGTGTTGGTTTAACGTTAACGAAGAGCACACATCAATTTTTGACATGTTTACTTTCTACTTTCAAGCAAAGCTTGAATGATGTTTGTCATCTTAGCGCTTTCAATGTTTGCCAATGCTAACTGGTACTCTCGCTCCGCTTTGCGGTCTTCGCGATCCAGCTTGCGCTCATTCATTTCACATTCCAGCTTGTGACGCTGAAATTCCAGCTCATTGGCACGGCTGGTCAGCTCTCGTTCGCTCTCCGTTGCTATTGCGGCAGCAAGGCTGTCACGGCGATTTTCCACTGCGTGTCGTTTCGTCTTTTCCTCGCCGTCACCATCGCTTCGTCGTTTCATTGTCTTCATCGCCATCTCTCGGACGTACAGGCCACCCTTCTCAACTTTGTCCGATTCGTCTTGGCCTTGGGGACGACATCTTTGCTCACTCTTCATGTCTTGCAGTACGTTTAGAATATCGTCCAGGAGCACATGCTTCTCTTTCTCCTCCTCTGCAACCCCGGACAATTTGGCTGACTGGGCATCAAACTTGCGGTGTTCCTCGGCAAGGAACAAAAACCGGTTTTGAACCTTCTTACCATCGACAACGCGACCAAAGTGCTCGCACGCAACGAGGGTCTCTGCCAAGCCTTGCCAGGCTTTCTTGAGTTGTCCCTTTTCCGCAGCAAAAGGACGGTCAGCTGCAACTTGGATGAGCAGAGCAATATCTTCTTCATGGGACCAGTTGCGGCGCTTCTCGGAGGACTTGTCGTTCTGGGACATGGTGCTGGAACGGTGATCTGGCAATGGCAGAGTCTGCCGCAGAATGGTCGTTTTCTACGGCAAGAATAACTATTTTTGGAAGGTCTGCCGTACATTTATAGTTTTAGAGAGGATCTGGCTATGGCAATGGCAACGGCACGTTTGCGAAATCTCCCTATTCATAGCTTTCGAACGAGGGCTGTCAACGCCTACGGAGCATCTTCCTCTGGATTACTTTATGAATGTCGAATTGAAGAAATTGCAACACTTTTTGGATAAAATCCGTCGAATTTGCGCTGAATGTGTCGACCTTCGCAGAGTCTTTTTCTTCGGAAACTCACCAATGAAACATCATATTAACTTCGAATAGCGTAGTTCGAAGTATGCGAATCACGATCACCACCAAGTGATCCCATGCTCCATCGCGGCGTCCGGCGATTCTCCAGCCGGCGGTCCTCCCGAAAAGGGACTTCGTACGACGAGGATGGTGTGTCTTTGAGCTCGAGCTTCGGTAAGAAAACTCTTGCTCATTTGAATGCGCATCTTGCTGCGTTCGAAGACAAAGTGCGAGGTGGGCCGAGGGAGCCATCGCCACGAGAAATACGGCGGTGGGAAAAGATCATGACCAAGAAGAGCGAGCGCACGTCCACACCAGAGTACTTGGCACAGCCCATCTTTCGACCAAACAGCGCCGCGCTCGATCGTTTTGGCAACAAGTCGATGGTAGACTACGAAGACAAAGTTCCCGTTGGCGTGTTTCCCGGGACTATCCATGTTGTGTCGACCGTCGAAGACGAGATGCACCACCGCGTCGCGCTAGAAAGCATGTCCGTTGTCGGCATCGACTGCGAGACGAAGCCCAGTTTATTTCGGCACCATGCATCCAGTCCGATTGCGTTGGTCCAACTGGCGAGCCACGACACCGCGTTGCTGTATCGGGTGCGGTGGAGTGGCACGTGGAGTAAGCAACGACGCGGTCGCGTGGAGCAGTGTCTAAGTACGGTTTAGATCCAACGTTGGAGTTTCCGGGGCTGCAGCACGTCCTGGCCAACAAGGACACGATCAAGGTCGGTCATGGCTGTGCCCTCGACTTCAAATCGTTGCGCGACTGCCGCATGGCATCGCATATAGTCAACACGGTCGACACGCTCCCCGTGGCGACCAAGATCGGATGCCTCAAGCCCAACCTCCGCGCGCTCGGGATGATCTGGCACAATATCCAGATCTCCAAGGCCATGCAGACGTCCAACTGGGAAGCGCCAGACTTGACGACGGACCAACTCGAATACGCCGCCACCGATGCATGGCTGGCGCGCCAAGGTACGTTCTTGGCGACACAAGTTGGTCGAGGATGACGCGCGTGGCTGCGTAGTGATGTTGGGCCTCGTGCAATTCGAACCGTCGAGGCAGTACGTCACAACGACCCACTACACAAACACGACCGTCGACACGATCGGATCAAGTCGAGACGACGTCGTCGCCAAGTTGTGTGCCGTGGCCCAAGATGAGTTGCACTAGTTCGAACGACGTGTCAAATGTCGAGGGCACTGCCGTCTTGGTACTCCAACACGTATTCTTCGTCCGACTCGCCGTGGCTGTCTTGACTCTTTGTATCGCAACCCCCGCCGTCGATGCTCGGGTTTAGGCGGGTGGTGGGAAACCAGCCGTGCGCGGCGGCGCTCTGCACGCTGTCGAGTGCCCGATGGACCACAAAGCCCTCGGTCCATCCATTTTCGTCGTGGTTCAAGATTCCAATCACATCCCCTGGCTCGACGTGCAATTCCCACTCGTTCGAGTGCATCCACGTGACTTCGACCAACGGCAGCCACTCGACATACGTGCACGGAAACCAGCCTTCGGTACACGACAGAGCGGGATGGACGACGTGGCCTCGCCACCATCCGTCGCTCGGCGTTTCGAGCACTTGGACAAGATCGTGGTCTTGTAGGTGCAGCTCTCCCTCTGACGTCGGTTCGTACGTCCCCAACGCGCGAACAAGACCCAAGACGTTGTCGGGGGCTCGCACCCATTCAACGTAGGTGCACGGGAACCATCCGGCGCGCCCGTCCACGGCAGTTCCAAACCACCACCCGGTTTCATCGACTTTGTCGACTACGAGCACGTCGTTCATCGTCAAGGTGAGCTCCGTGGCGTCTGCAGCGACGTAGTCGGCGACGACGCGGACCGTCCTCAACGCGTCGGTCGAAGCAGGTTCCGACTGGTTTAAGAAGAGTTCTCGTGCGACGCGTTCAGGTCGTTGCTCGTCTCGACGAGTCTCGACCGAGCTGGAGCGCACGCGATGCAGCCACATGCGAGCAATTTCAACGACGGCATCAGGTACATCGGGTCGCCAGTCCCAATTGCCGTCCGATGCCTCGGTCGTGAACCAAACCCCGCCAAGGACGCGCACTGAGTACGTCCACACGAGCGCAGCATGGTCGAACCACCACCACCCGCCGTCCAGCGGTTTGGTTGTGCTGTTGAACCACAAATACGTTGGGCCAAAGGGCGGCACGGTCGCTACGAACGCGTGGCTGAGCAAGTCGAGTGCCGTCGGGCGCAATGCCGGGTCCTTGACAAAGCACAACGCCAAAAACGCGTGCGCAGCGTCAGACAGATGCGCCGGGATCGTCGGCATGGCCGTCTCCGACGCAATGTGAAACATGGCGGTCAACGGGTTGGAAAAGTTGCTCTGCCAGGTCGTGAGCTACGAATGGCCTCAACTGCATCGTACCCAAGGGGGCGTGCCCGTCGCCATCTCGATGACACAGCACCCCACACTCCACACATCCGACTTGGTCCACCCGCTGCTGCCGCTTCCGTTGGCTTTGACACTCTCTGGCGCCATCCAAAACGGAGACCCGACGCCATCTTGCGACGACCTGTACGGTTGTTCACGCGCGATCGGCGGGCACGACGCGTACCGATGGTGGATGCCCTCGTCAACGAACCCTCCGCAGAGCGCGTCCGTGGCAGCGCCAAAGTCGGCAATTTTGAGGCACCCCGCGTCGGACAGCAGCAAGTTGGCGCATTTGAGATCGCGATGGGCAATTCCGCGGCTGTGAAGGTAAACGAGCCCTTGCAGGAGCTGGTACGTATACGCACGCACGATCGACTCGTCGAGGGGACCGCATGCTTTGAGCAAGCTACGGCGTCGCTTCAGGTAGGGCTTTGGAGGGGGAGGAGCGGCCTTACCCGCTGATCGACCCAAGAGGAAGGTATTCCATGAAGATGCTGAAGATGTTGCCTTCTTGTTCTGAACAAAACCGAGTCAATCGGGGAAGCGGCAGCGGCGGAGTACCAGCGCCGTAGTACTCGACGACGTGCGGATGGTACAAAGACTGCCCGATGCGCACTTCACCCAGGATGTTCTCGATGGATTCCTCTTCCTCGGGAACAAACGTGCCTTCGATCTCGTCGAGCCCGCGTTCGTCGCGAACTCGCACTTGCTTGACCGCCATCATCGTGGCCCTGCGTCGATGTCGTTGGAAGACGCGATGGAGTGAATGACATCTTACGTGGAGAGCAAGATACCGACGTACACCTTGCCAAAGCGACCGCGGCCGATGAGTTTTCCTCGCTGCCATACAAACGAGTCCATCCTGCCATCGCATGCAACCTCCGAGGGTTTCTCGTGGACAATCGAGGTAGTTTCGGGTCGGTTTCGATGCGTGAGTAGAGCGAATTGCATGCGTCGGGCAGCA